GGAGAAAAGGAGGCTGAGGGGCGACCTCATTGCTCTCTACAGCTTCCTGAGGAGGGGACATGGAGAGGGAGGTGCTGAGCTCTTCTCCCTGGGATCCAGTGACAGGACGCGTGGGAATGGCTCAAAGCTGCTCCAGGGGAGGTTTAGACTGGACATTAGGAAGCATTTCTTTACCGAGAGGGTGGTCAAACCCTGGAACAAGCTTCCTAGAGAGGTGGTCGACGCCCCAAGCTGTCAGTGTTTAAGAGGCATTTGCACAATGCCCTTAACAACATGCTTTAACTTTTGGGCAGCCCTGAGTTGGTCAGGCAGTTGGGCTAGAAGATCATTGTAGGTCCCTTCCAGCTGAAATATTCTGTTTCAACATTGCCATAAAGGATTAGAGTTTCCCTGCTAAAACTCTTAGTGATGAAAAAAGACTATGTGAATGGGAGAAGGCGTAGGGATAGACCAAAGCACACAAGATTGTGTGGCTTGAAGATGGCCGAAGATCCTGCCATTAGAAGACATGGTACCATATCTGCCAATTCCTTCTGCAGTTTGTTTTGTTCTGCTGACAGTGGCTGCAACCTTAGCAGGGAAGCCCACGACCAAGAAAGAATACAGCCAATGGGTAAAGTGAGACAGGCTGAATTTAATGTAAGTGTCTCTGAGGCTCACCATGCATCAATTGGTTTGAAACCTAGATCTTTTCTGGGTTTTTCTTTGCGGGGGGGCGGTTAGGAAAGAAAGAAGTTCTCTGAGTTGAAATGTAAACATGTTTTTCAAAAGAAAGCAAAAGAAGACTTAGAAACGGAGAGTCGAATGCTAACAAGTGACCCTGTTGTTGCTGTTCAAAACACATCGTGCTGTTGTTCTCCATACTGGTTTATCCAGTCTGAGGTTTCATGGCTTTCTGCACCTGAGGCCAGCTATCTGCTGCAGTTCTCTGAAGCTGTAATTATTACACCTTGTGCCTGCAGGGCACAACTCATTACAAAAGGGCCAAGCCTGAAAGCAGAGGAAGAAGCAAATCTCTGTTTTTAACGATTACCAGCAATTTATGAAAACTTTTTTTTTAGGTAGACGTGTGAATGTTTTGTATATATAGAAACAGTGAAAACTTACCTATTAGCTTCAGTAGCTCTCCTGTGGTTCGGAGCTTTAACTGAGAACAAAACAAAAAAAAGACTCATGTGGGACACAAATGGTATTTTGTAAAAGTAAAACATCCTGTAAGTGAGTGAGGAAGCTATGTCAGAGACTAAAATTACCATCTATTAGACAGTTTATATAGATGTGCTGGAGGTAGGCAGATAGTGGGTGCCTTCCTGCATTTCCATTTCATTCAACATACATTTCCTTGGGAGTATTTTTTTAATTTTGAAGCGATGCTATATTCTATTGCCAAGTTGTTTTTCTATTGAAGACAGATAGGTTACACAATCCAGTGCCAAGAATCTGTCGAGCAAGCCTGTAGCATACTATTATATAGATAAAATAAAGGCAAAAAAAGTAGGTCATTCTGTTTTATTTGTTGAGCAGAGTCTGGTCTTGGTGGTACTAGCTCATATTGAACCCAGTAAGAGTACACTCCTGAAAGCTTTGAAATGTAGTGCCTCCAGCAATACATCCTTTTGGCAAGTAGACCTTGATGTTTTCACATCTGGGATTTGGTGTACACTGAAAAGCCAGGGTGTTAACTGAAAATACAAATGATCATCTAAAATAGAAGGATAACAGAGTCTAGGGCACCGGGGAAAGTAGAAGGCAGCTGTGATGTGGACGTAGGGGCATGGAGGCTGGATTAAGGGATTTGCTTTTCTCTCCAGTACCCTGGAAGGTGTGGAAGTGTACACCGTGTACTAATGCCTTGGCTCTCAGTGAACCCTGACTAAATGGCTGAAAAGAGATCCTGTGTGAGCATGTGCCTGTGTGGGTACACGTCTGCATGCATGTGTCTCTGTGTGTGTGTGTGTATGCATGCACGCACTTCAGTGCAGATAAGGGAATTGTCGGGTTGGTGGCCAAATAAAAGCATTTTTTAAAAAAACAGCACAGGCTGGACCAAAAGACTGTCATTGTAATGTCAGCCTAAAGCTAAAGTCTTTCTAACCACTAATACCAGTCTAACAGCTTTTTTCTGCCAGGGGCCAATAGCAGATACTTAGGAAAAGTATAAAGGGTGTGTATAAAGCACTACTTCTCCCAGTAGACTTTCCAAATTTAGCAGTCTGTTGTTCAGGGACTTCCTAAACCAGATATGACATCTGTGTAATAGCTCTTCCTGGACCTATCTCCTGTGAATTTGATCAGGTTCTCTTTGAACCTATTTTTACCTTTGGTTTTCCCAGGATCCTGTGGCAATTTAATTACACATTGTGTGAAGTGGTGCTTCCTTTCGCTAGATTTAAATCTTTAGACCTCTAAGCCTTGCAACTGGCTGCCTTCCTCCCCACAGTTCTTGCACTCTGAGAAAAGGTGAAACATCACCCAGTCGGGATTTTATATGGCTCTCATATCCCTCCTCAGCCATCTGTTTTCTAAACCAAGAAATCTCTTTCCTCCTACGGAAGCCATACCATATCTCCAATGATCCTTGTCCTCCCTTTTGAACTTTTTCTGCTGTATCAGTCTGTAGCAAAATGCTTTGCTCTGCTTGTCAAAGAATAAGTACTACCAAGCTGAAGAGTTCTGCTCGCTCCATATTTTTCAGTTTGCTGGTGCATATCGTGCAAAAATACAGTGGCATAACCATGACTTTTGCATCATTTAACAACACCTGTTTCAAAAGAAGTGCAAGCGGCCAGCGCTACATTAAAGTGTTTGTATTCTAGGCCATTATAAAAAAAATACACACAATCTATTATTAAAGTTTTCCAGGGATTAGTGTGTCTGGGAAGCTACTTGTAGCTTTCTTCTGCAGAGGAATTGGCGTCTTTTATTAATTGAAGAGCCCTTCTCAACTCCGGTTTTGCTTTGCTCTACTCCTCTCAAAGCCTCAGATCAACAGCCGCTAATTTCCTCTATCAGCAGGACCTGATACAGTCCTCCCTGAAGTCTGCTGCACTCCTCCTGAGGTATCTGGATGCATCAGGTATATAGGACATCAAATTCTCTCTCGGCATCCTTCCATCTGCTCCCTTCCCAACTGCAGACTAAATACACTTGATGAAGTTTTGCTGTCAGCTGCACTTGTCTACAGGGCTATTGCTCTTCAGTGGAAGGTGCAATATAAATGAAAGGGAGTGAAATGTTGCCCAGCATCCAGCTTCACTGTCTCCTCAGCATTTTCATTGCTGCTTGAGCTCAAACTAAAAATAGAACTGGTAAGGGCAAAACAGCCAAAACATCACAGGGAAACGGGTCCTAACACTGGTTTCAAGAGTAAATGTGAGATTGTAAACAAATTGGAAGCGAAGTACCAGCTGCATGAGTGCGCAGGCATCCTGGATTAGTAAGAAGAAGGAGTGGGAATCTGTCCCTATTCAGTTCAAAACTATGTTCATTCTGAAGCCTAAAAATTACTAATTTAAATAACATCTATGTTAATTACTTTATGATTCTACCTTCTTTATCTCCTTTCATCATGGGGCAAGACAGATGTCTGCCTCTTGTATTTTTCCTGTGTTCCTCAGTGCATCAGTTTCTAGAGTTACCCCAACTCTCGGTAATTATTTGCCTGCAGATTTTCCACTCACTCCCTCCACAATTTACTGCTTGTCGTATCTGCTCTCACTACCACCCCCTGCAACAGCATTAGGTGTCTCTTACTCCTTACACTTCCCTCTGCTCCTTCTCTATCAGCCTCTTCACCTCAGATGAGCCCAAAGCCCCAAACCTCCTCTCTCCCCTGCTTTTGCCTTTACCCTCAGGGTTTACTCTCTGCCCTCAGAGGCTCCAACATAGGGAAACTATGCAAGGTGAAAGGAAGCTACCTACAGGGTAGCAGCCATCACGATGAGGAGGGGATGTGGAGAGGGAGGTGCTGAGCTCTTCTCCATGGTATCCAGTGACAGGACACGTGGGAATGGCTCAAAGCTGCTCCAGGGGAGGTTTAGACTGGACATTAGGAAGCATTTCTTTACCGAGAGGGTGGTCAAACCCTGGAACAGGCTTCCTAGAGCGGTGGTCGATGCCCTAAGCCTATCAGTGTTTAAGAGGCATTTGCACAATGCCCTTAACGACATGCTTTAACTTTTGGGCAGCCCTGAGTTGGTCAGGCAGTTGGACTAGAAGATCGTTGTAGGTCTCTCGCAGCTGAAATGTTCTGTTCTGTTCTGTTCTATTCTATTCTATAGACAGCGACTGAGAATGCTAGTTTTGGTGAAAAAGAGAAGACCATTTTGAAACTGAGGGTTGGATGTGAAAACCAAGCTGTCTTAACAGTGGGAATGGGTGCTAAAATTGTGAGAGATGGCAGTGGTATTTGCAGAAGCAGTAAACTAGCAGGTACATAATTATGAAGAGTAATTCTGAAGAAGCGATACAAAATACTTACCTGGGTTAAAAATACTTTTCTTCTTTATAAATGGAATGTATAACATTACGTAGCTAGTGGACTCTTTGGTATTACTATCTTATCAGTCTCGTGTATGATTTTTAAATGTGGCTTGCGAGTTTGAGTGTGCAACTTCAAAGGGGTGTGAGTTTTAAAAGTTGAAAGGTAAAACACTTCTTAAAAGTGGGCCCCTTTAACTTTTCATTAATTGGTAACCTAAAATCCTGAGCTACTGACACCATTAGCTGTCTCTTGGGCTAGCCTCTGGCTTTGTTAAACCACACAACGATTAGGGGTATTTGCCTGTATAAACAGTGAGGTTGCATGGAAAAAAGAGAGATGTTTGTTTGTTGGCTTGCAATGAGAAAAGAAGTTTATGCTGATCATTTCAAGAAAAAACACCTGAGTGTGGCCTGAGAGCTGTGACTGCCATTCTTAGGAGGAGTGGCAGAATCTTAATAAGTCCTTTCTTACCAAGTTACCTGGAAAAAGCTTTCTAAACATTTTATGTTTGTGCTTTCCAAAGCTTTCGCAGGTTTACACGATCTAATAGTGTAACAACAGCCGTGCAAGCAGACCTGGATTTCCATGAGAACTTTGAAATAATCGACCCTGAAGAGGACAATACGTGTTCTGGACAAATATCAAGACAATTTTCCCGAGATGCAAGCACCTCTACTGTTAGCATACAAGGGTCAGGAAACCATTATCATGCATGTGCAGTGGATGATGACTTTGATACAGATTTTGATCCATCAATTTTACCTCCTCCTGACCCCTGGATTGACTCTATCACTGAAGATCCTCTGGAAGCTGTTCAAAGGTCAGTGTGCCCACGAGATGGCCACTGGTTTCTGAAGCTACTTCAGGCAGAGAGGGATCGTATGGAGGGCTGGTGCCAACAGATGGAGAGAGAAGAACGGGAAAACAACTTACCTGAGGACAGTAAGTAACTGCGTACAATAATATTGCAACTACAAAAAAGTATCTAATATAGGTCAAATTTACTCCAGTGAATTCTGTACCGTGCCCTTTCTTATTTAGCTAATGAAGCTATGGTTGTGATTCTCGAAAGGACTGTATGTATGTATATAATAATCCTTATTAAAGTTGACGGGGAATGCAAATGCTCGGCACTTCTGAAACTCCAGAGGTATTAGCTTTTGGGATTGCATAGTTCAACGGATAATTAGGAGATCGTGGTTAGGGGTCTTGTAGTATTAATGTTTCTCAACTCTTCCATTTGAATCACTTTTCATAACTTTAGAATATAATTGAACAGATTCTAGTTCCTTTTCATTAAAGTCATATTTTAGCTGCCTTTTTAGATGGTGATTGGCACAGAGTCTGCAGATGCTTCTCAACTGAAAGAGATTTCAGTTGTGCTTCCAAGTTGTTCTCCCTCTCTTCCCCTCTCCAGTCTCCCCTCATCTCCCTTGCAGTTCTCATTCCTCTTTGATCTTCCCGGTAAGACAAGCTCTCCATTTTCTGTGATAAAAAACACACACATGCAAACTACATCTTAGTTGTCACCGCTGGCCGAAGTATTGCCCCACCTGTAAGGTAATGGGAATGTCTAGGAAGCCTTCATTAATAAGAAGGGGTGGGTAGCTCACGACTTATTAATTCACTCTAATTAGGGAAGAAGAGCTGAATGTGTGGTGTGACTCCCTGTCCAGAATTTTTTCTCCCAATAAAAATGGAACTTTTTTCAATTTACTTCCATTACAAGGAGCACTATTATTGATAGCTGTCAGCTTTTGGACATAGGTAAACCTGTGAGCTTAGGGGCATGCTCCTTGTGAATGAAGCTTTTTCAAATTCTAGCAGGGAGCTTCTAGAAAACATAAGGAGCAGCTGCATATAGAGAGTACAATATTGTATAATTTAGGCACACCTAAGCATATTTTCCTGCATATAGCAAATAACACTTTTCTGACCCCCAATTAGCTCCTACCAAAGCAAGGACTACTACTTCAGCTCCAGAATTTCTTCTTCCAAATTCCTAACCCTTCCTCTCAAGAAGGGAGGCGCTAGCATTCTTTAGAGATGTGAAGGTTTTGATTTATGGAAGGAAAGGAATTAACACTGGGAAGAAATATATTTTTTTAAATTCTTAGAAATGCATAAGCTGTTTCTGCTGGACCTTTCCATTCAACCCAATGAAAGAAATAACCATAGAGAAGTTTGATCTAGGTAGTTAAAGTTAGACACTATTGTGTGTCTTCTAATGGGAAGTAGGAGACAACCTTAACATTAAGGTATGTTAAGGTTTTCTATTTCTACATATTTTCTGTTACATAATAGGCTAACCATCTCTTCTGAGGGAAAAATACAGAAGGACTAGGCTTCAAAGCAGATCCAAATTCCCCGAGTTTTAGAGTATTTGAACCTCATTTTTAATTTACATCATCAATACATTCAAAAATCTCTTTGAATGTATCAGAATACAAAGGTTTTCTGCTGTTAGTATGCAAGAAATAAAGCCCATGAACTAGGAGATTTTGGATTGAAAAAGAAGAGTGAGCACATAACAAATAGGAAATACACAACATTTGTAAGTCCAAGCCACAAAACCCACTTGCTTTCTCTTTGCCACAACAACTTAGGAAGACATTTTCTACAATGACGGTGGTGAGACCCTGGAACAGGTTGCCCAGGGAGGTTGTAGATGTCCCATCCCTGGAAGTGTTCAAGGCCAGGTTGAACGGGGCTTTGAGCAAGCTGATCTAGTGGAAGATGTCCCTGCTCATGGCAGGGGGGTTGGACTAGATGACCTTTAAAGGTCCCTTCCAATCCAAACGATTCTGTGATTCTATGATTCTATGAACTGGTAATAATGGAAAAAACTACAAATATTTCATTTGTGCACCAAAGTTGTTATTCACCTTGTGAAAAGAACATGAAGTGAATTTTACAAGGCTGATACATGCGGAATGTGTATATCCATATACAGAATTTTCTCTTAGTGTCTTGGTGTGTTTGATATATGATAGTTTTAAAGGGCTCTTCTTTGAGCAGTCAGTGGGAGAAGCCAGTTATGGGGAAGATAAAGGAGTGATTAGGCTGGCTATTCCCAATGCCTCCTTACAGAGCACATGGCATGTGTCCTGTAGTTTATTCCTTCTCTTCATTTTCCTCACTGGCACTTGTTATGATCGCTGGAAATGGGAGGAGGAAAGGGGTCACCTGGGTTTTGTGGTCAGTGGTGACGTACTGATTTCGGTGTGACGCCATCGGCCGCTCCGGCACGTGGCAGCTGCCTCCCACGGAGGCTGCGCGGGGCTTTCCACTGCGGCTTAGCACGCCCCGCTCTACCTGGTGCCAAGGAAAAGCATATGGTGGGGGCCACACTGTCTGCTTAGCGGTGCCAGAAACAAAAGCCTGGCTGCTACAAACCCTGCCCCGAAATATGTCTTTTTCATACGTCTATAAACTTTGAAGAGAGGGAGGAAAGGAGCAGAAGAGGTGTGTTTGCTTTGGTTTTCCTAATGAAATATAACCAGAGCAGGGAACGCATTCTTTGTTTTCAACCTGCCATCCCCAGCGTGTGTTTGGCCAGATAACAAAATAACGAGAACGTGTGATGAGCGAGGTTTTCTCGATGCCATGGCAGCTGACAGAGGGCTCGTCCCCCCGGCGCTCCGCGTAAAACGATCCGTGCTTCCTCCAGACAATGCGGCCCTTGTGCGAAACAGCTGTCTCGGGGAGACGGCTCGCTGCTGTTTGACAGTAGCTTGTATGTTACATAGATACGTTGGGTATTATCTAGCTGGGAATGAATCTGCCAGATGGGATTGAATGTTTCTAGCTGGGAAATGGAGTCTGCTGCTGTGTATAAAAACAAGCTGTGGTTCAGTGGCTGCACGATGAAATACCAATATAGAGAGAAATGTGGCTCCCCTTCCGCCATGAATTATTTATTGTATAGTATATTCTGGTTTTATCTGAAATCATTTTCTGATAAAGCCGCGGCATGTGTAACAGGCAGATGAATACCACTCACACTTTAAGCTAGGATACTTGATATGGTTTCCGTGTATCTTGCTGTTACAGGGAGGTTTGCTACAAACTCTAAGGCTCTCATAAAAAAAAAAAGATGTTAGAGATATGAGACTAAACACCCTGTGAGAATTGATTGATGCTTTGGATCAGGCCTCAAGTGGAATCAATTGTTTACCTTTTTTTTTTTTGGTTTTTCTCCTCAACCCTCTGCTCTCTCCTCCTACCTCTCCCCTGAAAAATTTCATATAGTCAGAGCCTCGCCACTGATGTTGGTGACTTTTGGCTCAGGCCTCTGGAGTAACCATTTACACACAGAAGTAGCAGCAGGAGGCCTGGCTCCCCATGCAGCGCTGTTAGCGAGCAGCCTCTCGCCTCCTTTTTTCACAGCAGCGGTGGGCACAGGAACATACACCTACCGCCTCGGCCTGGCTTTTGCTGGATTTTTTGCTGTTGTTTTTATTTCACATGGGGCATTAACCTTTCTGGAAGAACGAGAGGGCTTCATTTTGCCCCCCTTCAGAAATGTTTCTCTTTGACGTGGGGTTGTAATGTGGCTTCGATGCGAAGATAACCATTGGAAGCAAACAGTGGGCCTGATTCACCACAAATCAGGTGTAATGTGGGTTTAGTGGCAAGACAAGTCAGGCCAATCAAGTAAAAACTAAAATAGAAAACCAAGGCTCTGACAAGACATGTCATTACAACTGTCCTGTGCGTATATTATACTCCTCTGGGCTAGTCTGCAAACAAAGGTTGACCTCAAATCTGCAGTAACCTCACTGCTTAGGACCAGAGTCTCTGCAAATTCAGCCAGTTCCGGCAAATTATGCAATGTTTGCACACTTTCTGCTCTTTTCTTTTGTTTTGATTGTTTCAAAGGAAAACTTAAAAGAGTGAAGGCTAGACACAAGAGAAGAAAGTTAAGGAAAAAATATTCTTTTTGCAATAGTTGTGCATGGCAAAAGAAAAGGAGACCCTTGAGTTCACTGTCAGTCACGAGCAAGGAAAACCATTTTCCAGTCCTCTACAGGGCTTCCCCAAGCCATCCTGGTCCCTGCCGCTCAGAGGTGCGAGGCGGCCTCATCCCGCAGCGGGCTGATGAAGCCTTGCAAGAGGGACGGTCACCAGCCTGACGTGTGGCCGGGTCCTGCTGAGGCTACGTGCCTCTGGCCGCCTGCCCGACTCGTCCTTTTCTTCCTCCGGTTTGCTTTTCCCCCCAGAAGGGACTTCTCCGGCTGTGAAGGTTTCTGCAAGGAAAGCCAGCTCCGAGCTGGAAGCCCTGCCAGTGTCCAAAGGCTAGCAAGGAAAAAAAAGAAATCTGCAAGCAAGGAAACAATATAGTTAAGGAAAAAAATGAAGTGTGCTAATAAAAGCCGAGTAAGTCGGAGTACACATGGAAACTGCTTTACTCCCAGTGAACAGCATTTACTCATGCAGACAGCCCTATTAATTTCAATGAGATCACTCCTATAAGTAAATATGACTCAAAGCAAGGGCTGCCCCTTCCATAGCTTGCTCCATTTGGCTGTTTTCTCCTTAATAGATGAGCTTAAGACCTGAGCAGTAGCTTTAACTTTGAATTTCCTGGCTTTTGTCATGCTTGGTGTTATTTAAATGTAGGTCTGTCAACATGAATAGGCTAAAATGCTGGTCCATCCTGGCTTGGAAATGGATTGTGACAGCTCTATGGCAGGATTTCTTCATATGCACAGTGCCCAGCCAACATCTGCAACGCAAATGTCAGGCCATGTCCCTGTAATTTCGGCTATTGTTCCTGCCACTTGCTCCTGGGGCAATGAACAAGTCGCTGGTTTTCTGTTCCCTAGCTTGCACCCTGCCTGCCAACCAGGTGTTTTCACATTTGATAGTCACAGTTCTAAAGTGCCTCCTTTGTCACTTGTTAGACCCTGGGGCCTGTCAAAGTTGAAATGCAAAGAGATCGGTTGGTGTTTTAAGGCCAAATAACGCTGCCACTTCTCAAAACTCCCGTGGCTTCTATGTGATGACTTTTCACATCACTTCAGGTGGTATTTGTTGTTGTTTTCTTATATTTTGTTATCCTCACACAGTCTCCTTGCAAGGTAGAGCAGATAACCAATTCTTTGCTTGTGTTTGAAATTCTTTTTTTGTTGTTTCATTTCATTTCCCATGAAAATGGAGGGAGGGGGAGGAGATACATAGAGCTCCACAATCCCAAAGTAGGTCCTGTGCAGTTCTTAGAACCAAGAGAAGCAAGAACTTATTGCTTGAGCAGCACATAGTCTAAGTTTATATTTAAGAATGTTTTAAAAGGAGAACAGGTTGAGGGGTTAGAGACACAATGGAATTCACTGGCATGTGTCTATCCTAGAATAACATTCTGCGACCTCTAGTCAAAAACAGTAATAGTGAGGAAGCACTCCACAATAGCTGAATTATATCAAAATCGCTATACCGAAGCAGTTCTTCCAGGACAGACATAACTATTCTTAAAAGTTGTCACAGGAGAGCACTGGATTTACAAGGAAGAGAGGTCAAAACAAGGAGGGGGGGAAAAAAAAAAGGAAAAATTCGAACTATAAAAACAAAACACTGCAGTAGACACACTTCTTCCCCTAGGGAAGGGGTGACAGCAAAGCATATGATGGATGTTAATAATGTTGCTTAATGCATTACTGGAAGGCATTCAGATCTGACAGTGCTGAGTGTGCTGTACAGCCCTGTATGGAATAGAAAGCAGACATGAATAACATTATGTAGGTGTTTTAAGTCCGTTATGATTGCATCTTGATGGGTTGGTACTTTTTGTGGTTGCTTGGTTTTATACGTTTTGTTTGTATCCTATTAACTGAACACATCAATTTGAATGTTTATATGTTATTCTCCTGTACTCCATCTCCCTTGCTGTTAAAGATTTCTCTAATTCTTTTCATATGTATTTTGAGCATTATCTTTGCAATTCCACTTACTTTCTTGGTATTTGGCTTTAAACCTCGCAGGATTTTCTCCTCAGAAAGTATTGGTCTATTTTTACTTTTTGTTTTTTTACTACACCTTGGCCTTTCTCTTTGGCACCGGAGGTTTTGACTGAGTAAATGAAACGAGCACTCTGCCTGGAAACACTAAAAGCAACGTGCGTTTGGAAACAAAACTATTGATAAGGCTTTGTGCCTTCTGGAGAGATTCCTTTCAGTCTTTCGCATGCTTTGTCTTTTTTTTTTTTCTCTAACTTCCGTGACGGAGTTGGTTGTTGACTGGTTGCACATTAACAGACCGCTTGCTTTTGAGGGGCGAGGAATCAGTGACACTTGACTAGATACAGCCGCGGCTACAGCAGAAGTGGCAACAATAGAGAACAGCATCAGCATGCATCCCACAGTCAGCTGGGATGATGGTTTTTAGGCAAAAAGCCAGTCGCTAGGCAGCCAAGGACAAGGACTTCCTTTTCCCTCTGCTGAGATCTCTGAATATTAAGCTCTTCTTCCCTCAAAGAAAGGGGCACGTTCCCATCCATCACCAACAAGGTGTATTTACATTTCTTCATGCTTAGGACGTGATTTCCAGCTCGGGTGGTGCAGGTTTCCAGGAAGAGCCCGCTTCATCTTTTTTTGTCCCGAGAAGTCCAGAGACTGTTTTTTCTCCCCTTCTCAAGTCTTGGGAAGCATCAGAGTGGCCGAGCTCCAGATGAGGCAGCTGTTCCCAAATATACTCAGTGGGAAGAGTTTTCATAACAATGGGAACCACATGAAAGCTCCTGGAGTAGCTCCTCCTACTATTGAAGAGTCCTTTCAGTTGAGTGGTTTGCATATTGGGTTGCATAAATGACTAGACACACCAAGGGGTCCATTTTCAGCACTGTGCGCATAGAATTAGACACGCAAGCCTTGCTAACAATAATGAGAGTTGTGTGCAAAACTCCCTGCGCAATATGCTGAAAATATTCTGCTTAGTGAATCTTCCAGCTCACGGCTATTTCCTGGCAGTGCTGAGCTCAGTTCTGGGAACAAAATGAAAGTCTGGGCTCTGTGTGTGTTCACAGAGCTCCCTCCTATAGTTTCTGAAAAAAATGTGAAAAGACTATTCCCCCCCCCAACTTTTTTTTCCCTTTGTATGTCTAAAGTATAAATGAACTCCGCATCCCACTTTTCCTCCAGCAGCCTTAAGGAGCAAGCTTTAAGGCTGCTGAAGGAAAAGGCGCTTGCCTTGAAGGAGCAGAACACAGATTTTGTACTACTGCGTGTCTGGTTTCAGTTCATCCCGAGTGTTTGTGCCAGTTTGCTTAGCGTGTGGCTACGCAAGTGAATCCCTTGGAGAGGCCTTTCTCTCACCAAACACTGCATGGTGGCGTTCTGGTCACAAGCTGCCAACATGCACTGCGGCCGGTCACAAGACCGTGAGACCCTAAAAATGTTGTCAGAAGGGGTTATAGCAAAGTTGTATTTATTTATTTATCTATTTATTTATTTTTCATTGTGGTAAGTCAAAATACTTAGCAGTATTTTCCCAGTGGAGCTCTGCTAACGTTGTGTTAGGTTTTATACCAAAAGTGACCGTGCCCAAGGGATGGTACAGAGGATGGCAGCTTAGGACTAGTATCTCTTCTAGGCTCTGACAACAATTCACTCACCTTGAGCAGGCCACTTCATCTCTTTGTTTTTCCTGTTCCTCCCTCACCTGCCTCATGTATCCAGACTGTAAATTTTTCATGGAGAAGTTGCTGTGTTTATATGAGGGCTGGGACAATGCAAATATCTATGAACAGAAATGATAGTGAAAATTGTGACATAGTGGCTGCCATTCATGTTTTTCATTAATGACGTGGTAAATATTTTTTTTATTAAATAAAATTGATTTTAAAATAAGTATTTAAGCAAAGAATTGGGGGATAGTAAGTTGCTTTAGCTGAGAGCGAAAATTAATGGTGGAGCCAGATACATCCGTGATGCCAGCCTGTTTATTTTAAGACAATGCATAAAGCATAGTTCTTGTTGTTTTTTTTCCTGAGCACTGAAAATCTCAAACAAACCAGTAGCTGCTTTCTTGCTCACAGCATCAATATTTTTTCAATCAGCAGTCCCCAAAATTGCCTTCTGTTTTCTGGATTCACTGTCCTACTGTTGGTTGAGGCCATGTCTGTCTTTCTGCTCTGTTTCTGCATGCTTGCTTTTTTTTCACATACACACACGCACACGTACGCACACACACACGCACACCCCCCTCGACCAGAATTCAGCAAAGCCCCAGGGAAATGCAGGTCTCTGAATGCACCAGTGTTTGCCTTGGTTTCAGCATATTCTCAACTACCCCTTGCAGCAGTAAAACCCCACCATTTCAGTGAGGTTGAATGCAACCAAAACAGTGTGAGCTCCTGTTTTATTCAGAGGCGCTTACTATGGGCTGTCTTCTGATTCACTGCAGTCCTTCACAATGCTCAGTCAGTCCAAAGAGACCACAAGTACCCAGCTGTCCGTACAAAGGAGTCCCCAGGCAGTGCAGGGGCTGGGCTAGGACTCTTCGACACCTCCCTTCAGGTCTCCAGAAAGGAGGAGAGGCCAGGGTGTGATTGCTCCCTGAAGCATGCCTGGCCATCCTGATTCAAAGGCAGAATCCGATTGCTCCCTGAAGCATGCCTGGCCATCCTGATTCAAAGGCAGAAGCCGCTTCAGATTGTGCTCATGGAAAATACTCAGAGGGTCCGAACGAGATTCATCAACGTGCATTAAATTCACTGTTCCCTTTTCTGGGGCTCAGATCAAGCAATACTCAGCTAAACCTGAAAACAAGGTGCCGCATTACTAAGTGAGATGGCAGAAATGCTGGTAGATGCAGTGTTTTCCAAACAGTGTAGATGGCATCACAGGGTTTGAAAGCCGCATGTCCTTGTGCAGGGAGCTGGGTTTGTATTCAAAGCCTGGGCCTGGGTCACAGTGGTGACGAGAGGTGTAATTTCTGGAGAGCTTTCTATACAGGTTGCAAAAGCTTTTGATTAGCCATATTTATACTGCCGCAGAAATGCTCTTTGCTGCTTGGAACTGGTCTTCCTGGGGGAATGAGAGTACACTGCAGCAACAGATGAGTATTTTTGCCAATGCAAGCTGCCCTGGAAGCCCTTGCAGTACGCCTTTGCCTGGTGCAGATCTGGCCTCAGATTTATCAGTTTCTCTCTAATCTGTGACTGAAAGATAACATGCTTTTTGAAAGCCAGAGCTGACTACTGCGCAGCTGTCTCCTCTCTTTTTATAGGCTTTTAGTTGCCCGCAGCAAAGAAAGCATCGTGACTTACATTTCTTTTTCTCTCAGTTCTAGGGAAAATTCGAACTGCGGTGGGCAGTGCCCAGCTTCTCATGGCCCAGAAATTTTACCAGTTCAGAGAACTTTGCGAAGAAAACCTGGTATGTAAATTTTCTGCTAGACACTGTTGTGTGCCTTTTCCTAATCCTGTGAATAATCGTACCTAAACTAGATGGATTTTCTGACTAACACAGTAATTTTTCCAGTAAAGGCCTTGATATGAATTTGGGAATAACTCTGTCAAACTTGGTGGAGTCAGCATGAGTTTCACAATAGCTTGAGATCCTCTAAAATAAAGACGGGCAAAAAGCTTTGGGTGAAATATCACTGAGGCTCTGCTACTGAGTTCAGAGGAGCAAGGATCTGTCCCTTGACCTCTGAGTTCAGTTCACATGGGCACAGAGATGCATGGGTGCCTCCTCGGGGTCTTTCAGGGTGGACCAGAAGTCTCATGAGTGAGGCTTTCCCACGTAATCCCAATGCCGCCTGTATTCAAGACAGAAATACCAGGAAATCGGACACTGAAAGTTGGTGTCTCATGTTCCACAACCCCAACGGTGAAAGTAATTTTTCAGAGTGCTAAAAGGGCAAAGAGGCAAAAAGCCAGTATGTTGTCACGATTATTATTGTATGTAATTGGTATATGCTACCACTATTATTGTTATTATTTGCTATTTTTATGTTATTAGTAGTAGTAAAATCAGAATGATATTCCTGTTGATAAATAAAAATACATTTCACACTATGTATCTAAAGTAGTATTCTCAAAAATTCCAGCACTTATAAAAATTTTCAAACTTGTTAATTAACAATCCGTCCTTGCAGAGTAGATAGGATACATTTAATTCCCAATTTTGGCATAAATTCCAAGAAGCCACAAAAGCATAGAGCATTATGCTCTATCAGCACAGAATAGGGAAGGGAAGGCAAACCCTGTGATACTCACCAGAGTGGGGTGACCGTCTTCCGCTTCAGCTAATGCACTTCTGGAAATCAAGCCCCAAACTAAAATCTGCCTCAGCAGACAAATGCAACAGAAATTGGCTCTGTTGAAGCCTTCCAATCCTCAGTATAAAAATTGAAAAAGCGTTTTGGTTGCACATCTTTGTAAATAAAAGCCTACAACTAGGCAACCTGCTAGTGTCAAGCACTGAAAAACTAGGAATCCAAGTATAATCTCTAGTCTCCTTATGAATCTAAAAATATATACTTTGTTGTTTTCAGTAATTGCTGCTTTGGTGGTACAATCATCCTATCAAAATCACTTGTCAATGTTGCTGTGAAAAGCACAAATAGAAATTTCTTAAGTCAAGCAACTGACTCTTTTGGGTTTATTGCTTCTGGTGAGGGTGAAAACTTAAACACAGAGTAAAACTTGAGCTATGTAAAACAACATGCAGGGGTCTAATAATAATTTATTTATTCTTTATTAATAACAATATGTCAATGTAATCTTACGAGGCCACAGCAGCCATGAAACCTTGCTGACTCAGACTGGCATAGGGACTGCTCAGCATTTACGAAAAACACTTGAACTGAGTGTATGCAACATCTCATTTTATTTGAAGAGTTTCAATTGGGAATCAGCTTACAAATACCCATCCTGTAGAAAGCTTTCCCTCATACAAGCTTTGCCAGAGCAGCAGGGACCATTTCATGTATCTCCACTGCATGCAGAAAATGTTCAGAGCTGGCTTGCACTGAAGGGACACAAGACAGCACAGGACCTCTCGGGTCACCAGCCTCTGGCACGTGTCATGCTAGAGATGCTGATGGTCCAGGTGTGCTCTTCTGTGCAAGACTCTGGGGTGATGAACTGGACTGAGTTATCACACACAAAGCAGCACTCCCCACCTGTGTCCCAGTCTCACTCTTCCCAAAAATGCGCCTGTAAAAATGGGATTACTGTGCTTCTGCATGTTCTCTTCTGAGCTTTTCACCCTGCAGAGGTTATTCTTGTAAAAAAAAAAAAAAAAAAGAAGAAGAAATTGTCCTGAGGTATATAAGAGGCAATTTTACTTGAAATGGTATATTTTTGTAGCCCTTAGATTCTCAGAGTGTGGAACAAGCGTTCATGCATCAGTCTATTACTATTTCCACATGCAGCAAATGTACATTTGCAGAGGTATCAGTCTTTCTACAAGCATGAATGTGGCAGGGAATCCTTCATCATGAAAGTGAAGAGGAGGCTGGCAATTAATTTCAGTGTGGTCAGGATATTACCCTTGAACCCACTGGTTGTGCCCAGGAACATCCCTAGGCAGATCCTGTCACAGGGGACCTGCCACGTGCCCTTTCCCCGTGGTCCGCGGCAGGTAGCCGCTGCTTTCGGTGAGTAGGGAGCTTGCGGGGGCACAGGGGCTCAACCGAGCCAGACTCCTTGCAAAAATCCCTGCCAGTAAGTAGCGCTCCACTTTGTTTCTCTCTGTGTGTCTCACCGATCGCTTGGATCTGCTGAAACTGCTTTGCTAGAGAGATTCGTAACCACTTGCACAAATGCTTTACATTAAGAGGTACTAAAGCCAACGTGTTTTTTTTTCTTCTGTTGTACAGAATCCTAATGCACATCCACGGCCGACCTCCCAGGATTTAGCAGGGTTTTGGGATATGCTGCAGTTGTCCATAGAAAATATTAGTATGAAATTTGATGAACTTCATCAGTTAAAGGCCAATAATTGGAAACAGATGGATCCTCATGACAAGAAGGTAGAACATTGTAGATTTTGTATGCTTCATTTAAAACCCTGCACAAATACTGGACAGATTAAATAGGCCTCTGTGTTACAGTGTTGACGTTAAAAATGTGAAATGAAGCTCATATCAAATTAATTTCATTGTAATAACAATGTTTACATAATAATCATCTGGGATATTATCTGTAATATGTTTCAGGCATATTTTTAAACCAAATCTGTCTTTGTGAATCGGATAATGGGAATGTGGTACTTTGTTAAGCTTTACATTTAATCATATTAGACGATCAATCATTGGAAGGAACTGCCTTATATATTGATCTTAAAATTAAATAAATCACATTTACGGTTCATATTATTGCATATAGCAAGAGTTCTAGGTTGTGTTACTGAAAAAACTAGGGAAGCACTGTAACCATCGCTGACTTTGGTAACCAGATTACAAACAGAGCGATATCAAAAATACGCCTTCCAAAATGTTACATGAAAGAACTTCTACATCTTTTTTTTCTTGTCCATTTGTTTGGTTTTTGTTTATTTGGGGTTTTTTTAGTGGGTTATTTCATAACCAGATTCACTTTGCTGGTAGTGTTGTTTACCCAAGGTGGCACAAAAATCATCTGGAGCTTTGGTCTTTTTTTTAAATGTAGTCTTCTTCTGTCACCATGAAAAACTACCACCTCTCCAAGTGTAAGCCACATTTCACTTCCCATTCTCATTTGGCACCATTGCCTTATTTTTCTCCTCACGATCCGCATCGAGACAAACAGCACTTGGGTGAGCCAAAATACACAAATGTTTCAGAAAATCCTTAAAAGACAGACCCATTCCTAGAGGAATCAACGGTCTAATGTCGCGCTCCTATAGGTATGTAATTTGATGGTTGAATCTCCACTGTGGCTGGTTTGATACCAATGAATAGAGCCAACAGGTAGGGTCACCAGAAGGAGGGGGAACGTGACTTACAGGTACAGTGGCTCAGACAGGAGTCCAGGCTGTCCCAACTTACGGTCAGCTGGCTGCCGATGACCAAAGCGATGTTTTCTTTCGGACAAATAACCATAATAATATCAAACCCCATTAATCTTGCAGCAGGAAGTTTGCAAAGGCAGTGCTGGTAGCACTCTCCCTCCTCCTCCGATCAAGACTAAATACTCATTCCTGACTTAGGAGTGCCTTGTTCACACCATTTGTGCACACCTAGTGTGTTTTGTAGGGGAATGAATGGGAATGTGTTTTCCTAGCCCAAGGTACTGAAGGCAAGTCATTTTCTTATCTTCTTTTTTTTTTTTCAGTATCTGTCAGAAAAGGAAGTTAAAACCGTCAAACATGCATGCACAGAAACGCTGGTGTATGGTCTTTCATTAGCTTTTACAGTAAAGCGGGTAGGCCGAGTGTTTGCAGTTGCAGCAGTAAGAAACGAGAGCTTTCCTTAAAAAAAATGTGCTTTTTCTTTGCTTCTGAAAAACATTTCAAAGAGTTTCCAACAAAAAGAAGACTATAACGGGTTAAAGGAAGTTAAGTAGTGCTGAAGAAAGGGACCTACAGTAGGAAGGTAAAGTTTTTAAAGAATTACACTGACTCTGTTCCTGTTTCAACAGCATTTGTCTATGATTTTGGATGAAACAGATCATCTCCTTTCTTAAAAAGGATTAAAAAAAAAAAGAAGAAAAAACTTTCTGCGGAATTGATATTTGCAGTTGCCTTTGGCCTTTGCCACTGGGCCCTTTTTAAGCAGCATAGATTAATCCTTGGACGGAGAGAAAAAGCAAAGTATGAATAAGTGTAACTAAGCACCTTTATATTTCGAGCCATGGAAGCTGTTGTGAGCAGCATGAGAGAAAACGAAAGGGCAGAATGGGACCTTTGTAGTGCGATAAAATCCCTTCACTCAGAGACCGTGTTCACAGTTGGAAGGGGATGTAACTTAAAAGACAATCTAATTAACTTGACAAAGTCTTTGTGGCCGCCTGAAATTCACACTTGAATACACTTTTCTTTTTCGGGAGAGATCCTTCTCTGAGGGGTTTTTTTTTGTTGTTTTTTGTTTTTTGTGTGTGTGTACATGCGCCAGGATATACATAGAAGTCCTCCTTGTTGATCGCGTATCTGGAACTAGCTGCCACTGTGATGATTAATGCATGTTCTCTTAATGGTTTTTAAGTTTTTCCTACCATTTTTTTCTATTTCTAGCTGATGGTAGCTTGTCACGCCTATTTAGCAGGAGGCTAGAGTTTACGAGCTTGCACAGCGAGACCCAAAGTGTGGGATTTTTGGGCAGTCATTAAGCCACTATAAAATATGTACATAAATACACGGTGTTTTTTTAAAATACTTATTCTGATGCACCAGCTGCAGGCAGCTAGTTCCCATCTGCATCTGGGGACACCAGAGCCAGGGTACCTCCGTGTTGCAGGAGCGCCTAGCGTTATGCACGTGTAGAAGAGGGTGGCCCGGGAGCCGGGGCTCTCCAGAGTTCCTCTGCCGAGAGCGGCGTTCCCTCCCCAGCCGCACGCGACTGCGCTGGCGGCGGGAGGGCGCGTCCGAGCTGCTCTCCCTTCTAGTCCCTGGCACCAGGAGGAGACGCCTGGATCCCCCCCGCCCCGGGGAGCCGCAGTAAGGGGTTAGCGGTGGGGGCCTCGGCCCTGGCAGCGCCGGGCCTTTCACGCGCACCGTCCCCGAGGAGAAGTAGCGCTGCGGCCGGCCCTCCCCTCCCCTTTGCCCTTGCCCTATGGTTATGAACCCTTGAGCACAAAAGCCAGTTCACTGAAGACAGAAAGGCAGATAAGAGCTAACAAACCTTAGGTAAAATGTGTGTTCTAACTACTGACGTATCCTAGTTTTTCCCGCCTTTCCCTGAGAAGCTGTATAATGCCATTAACCTTCTGCTTTGATCAGGAGAGAAGGGTCCCTCCTCCAGTGCCAAAGAAGCCATCGAAAGGTCAGGTGCCACTCATACGAGAACGCTCTCTGGAAAGCTCGCAGCGTCAAGAGGCCCGGAAACGGCTGATGGCTGCCAAGCGCGCTGCATCGGTCCGCCAGAACTCAGCTACCGAGAGCGCCGAAAGCATTGAGATATACATCCCCGAAGCCCAGACCAGGCTATGAAGGGATCCACCCGGGAGGACTCTCTCTGGCAAGACAAGCCTCATGTATAATCTGCCCCTCTAGGCTCCTGCTCAAGGTCACCACGAAGTATTTGTACCTCCTCCTCCTCCTCCTCTCTCTCGCTCTCTCTCCCCTCCTCTCCCCTCCCCTCTCTCTGTACGCAGCCGCCCCGATGCTCCCAGTGAACTCCACTGCCGTGGCGTAGTTGTCGGTCCTCCGAGAGATGTCCTCTAATCACCCTTGCTTTCTGAAGGTTCGCCCATGTCATCACGATGCTTTGTCACATGTACTGATGCTGCCACTTTGCCTCATGTAAACGAGTACGATCCTTTCTTTTTTCTGTTTGAAACAAATAAATGCAGCGCTCAGACTTCCACACACCCGCGCACCTGTACAGTAGATGCTCCGTTTAACTTACTCATGATCTTTAGTTGACCTAAAGCTAGTCTGTTACCCAGTGTACAGCAATATCAAACTGTAGGAGACTTTGGAAATTTCAGTCATGCAGGGTGATCCTTTCGGACTCTGCCGTCTTCCTCACTAAAGATGAAAGGAGCTATGACTCGGATTCCCTTCTTTTTATTACTGTTTTTTTTAAAGCAGATGGCGCACTTTATTCTAAACCTCCGAATCACACCTTCTCACCTGAATTTAAGGAGTCACACAAGGGGAGGGGACTGGGGCGGGAGTGGGGAGGGGGGGGAGAAAAAACACAGATCTGTGGGAGTGAAAACGTGGAAGTATATCCCGCAGGTGAGATGGCGAGGGATAGAAAAGATCCTGTGGAAAGATACCTGCACACTCACAGCTGCACAAACTGCCTCATTTTTATTTCATCAGTCACTACTTAAACATTTCAATCAGCAGAAGATTGTAAATTCGATCTTCCAGGGAAATAATCTATTTTGAAAGGCAATAAAAGAGTGAAAAGGAAGGAGATAAGAAGCAATGACAGTTGAAGAGATAATATAAAAGAAGGATTTTCTTGTCCAAGTATTAAGAATTTTTAAAATTGTACTGTATTGTCAATTCCTCTTGTATTGTATTGTATGGATTATATTGGTTAAAAAAAAAAGAAAAAAGAAAAAAAGCTCGGTTTTGTTGATGTCTTAATCTCGGTGGGACCATCTGATCTCACACGTCCACGTAGCCACAAACGGACACTTGTAGGCGAATTGCTGCACATGGAGCCTCTGATGCTTTTCCAGGCCAGGCTTGCTTTGCTCTATCCACAGCCGGTTGTATGCTACAGTTCAGACTGCTTACCACCAAACGGTCCATATCTAGGAGTAAGTTTCTAATTCAGCCTCTTCTTAATAGTATAAAGTACCCATCTGAAGAAGAACAATAAAGTATTTTTCACAAGTTATGGGATCAATATGAACTTAATTTTTTTTCACGACAAGCCTTCCTACCCTGGCTTCTGCCATTGTTTTGCAATCACGAAAAATATGCACCCCGAGTAGCTCATTAATACTGGGGGGAAATGGCAGACAATAGGGCTGGAGAGGAGCGTGAGAGGTCAGCCCCTGCGTGTCTGTCCCCGCCAGCCACCCCCAGCTGAGGCAGGAGCTTGTCCTCCACCTCCTCTGATGGGGAACGATGCTGACCACACCGCTACCGAAACCTCTTGTGCCAACGTTAGGAAAGCTGTGTCAGGCATGTTGCTGAAAGCAAATTGTGCCTGTGCGTGCGTGTGAGTGAGTGTGTGTGTGCACAGGCGTGCCTAGCCGGCATGTGCTGCTGAAAGCAGAATTAGCGTGAGCTGGTTTGGATGATGGGGCTGGTCGGGGGCAGAGGAGCGCCGTGCGGCCCCCGGCGCATCCGCGGCCCCACGGTGACGCTTTCCGCACCCCTCCGCTGGTCCCTGCATGCTCTTCGCCCTGGCTGCCAGGGCAGGGGCGTGCGGGAGAGGAAGGCAGGCTGCCTTCTGCTCCCAACGGGAGCAGGGGCAGGGACAGCCCCCTCCGTGGAGGGGCACAGGGTGCAGCGTTGCCGCACGCCAGCGCTGGCTGGCTGCGCCCGTAGCTGTTAAACTTTTATGGACGGCCCAACTCGCAAAAAACCCCACTGCACGGGTGGCGCAATTCTGCAGCTTGCATTTAAAAAGCATTTAAAGTCGTCATCAAAAAGTTAAGCTCTTGCTAAAACTATTCATCGAGATCACGCCAGACAGCTTCTTTTCCTACGACATCATAGCCAGGTGCTAATTTAATTTTATTCAAGAAAATAGGAGAGGTAATAGGTTCTGGCACCAAGTATTTTCATGAGAGCATACTAAAACCACTAGAGAATTTGCTACCTCTCAAAGCCATTGATATCTGAGCTATGTCTTTATAAACAGGGCACAAATATTTACTGCTGTGGTTTACAAGATAAGGGCTAATAATTTAATATATAAGAGACTTTTAACTAGAGTAATCAGAAATCCAGTGTAACCCTAGAGTGCTTTGTGTTACAGGAGCTTCGAAAGGTTTGACCCTCTAAGCGTTTGAATACCAGTGTATTTGCTAGTTTTGAAACACTGTGTTTAACTTTTAGCAGCAACGAAACATCACCGTGTTTGCAGTATGTAATAGTGCCAACTGCCACTTTTGAGCATATATAGTCATAGGAAGTATTAATTATTTGGAACTCATTTGTACTGAAATATTCAAAGCAGTATCCAGGTGAGGGTCCACATTCACAACTGTGTCGCAGACTTACTTAGTTTTGTGAATGTTTTATGAAAGATGAGTTAAGACTTCGGTTGACAAGTGGCTACAGAAATTTATATCCAGCAAGTTACCCCCTAAAAAAGCAGAAAAGCGAAGACTATCTAGTCTTGTGCGTTATGAATTATTGTATTTGTATATCATAGAATATTTTTCATATCTATTTTAAATGAATCTATTCTTAGCTGAATGCCTGTTAGTTCATTTGGTGCTGAAGAGGGTATTATAATGTTTTCTTAGTTTTTTAGCAAAATATTAAAAATATAGCCAAGACCAAGAAATATAAAATAGAATAATTCTGCCCCTAGAATGCCACTAGTTAACCACTTGGCTCATTTACCGACACTAATGCTAGTATATTTGCTCTATCATCTGTTTTAGTATAATTTGTAACCTTTTGTTTTTAGTCTAACCTGCCCAGTGTATATTAAAAATGCCTATATTCTGTTTCACTTTGGGACTAAAGTATTGCTTTTTTTTTTCCTTGGGAGAAATTTTAGAAAAGGTGGTTTTTGTCTCCTGCTTCAAGAGTTAAAAAAAAAAAAAGAAGTATTTATTATATTTTTTGCAGATGTTTCCATAAAATTCTCATAATCTTTTTGTAAAGAAAGATGAAGAAACGGATTAAAGATTTTTAATATTTGAAAAGGTAAATAGAAATAATTTATTTGTAATATTTTTCAGTTTATTTATTGGTGTTCCCTTTATGCTTTGATGTGCACTATCACTTTAATTTAAACTGTATCTTTGTGAATTTATTGGTTATTTTGTTTGGGGTTTTTTTTAAGGAAAATGGTCAAATGCGTATTTTAAGTAACTTTGAATGTAAATCACTGGCCTACCTGCATTCCCAAATGTGATTTTAAAAATGTTTTTGATTTGAAACAAAAGACACAAATTTGAAAGCCTTTAGACAGAGGAGAGTGTTTTTATGGCTTAATGATTTGGGTTTCCATAGGATTATCTATCTAGTTTGTGTGCGGACAGGAAAATGTAAATAGATGAATGTTTCCCGTAATGTAAAAAGAGCAAATTAATAAAATAATTAATGCACTGCTTGTAAGAGCTGTGGGTTTTCAATGCAAATTCGTTCTCCCAGAACTGCCAAGGCGTTTCGTTTGATGTGGTTACGGATAAAAGCACGACAAGCAGAATGTTTCTCTTAAGCGCTCATTGCTTAAGACCGATCCTGCGAAGTCTCATACGAAGAGTCCCGCTGAGCGCCCTGGAAGCGCTCATCTGCACAGAGTTACTCACAGGCGTAAATGTTGCCGTGATCAAGGCCTCGAGCCTTAGCAAAATCTTCAAAGGCGCTTCCACACAGAGCCCGGCCAAACCCCGCTGAAGATGTCAGGAGTTACACTGGCGACTTCAAAAGCAGCAGCGAGAAACCCCCAGCCCGTTTCTTTTTCCCCCGGCACTGGTTCCCTTCATCTTGCGCTTACCTCCAGTGATGGCTGAAACTCGGGGGCGAGGGCGGGGGGGGAGAGCGAAAGAGATCCCTGGCAGAGATAGCTGACTTCTCCTTCGCTGGAGTCCTGCTTCCAGACTGGGTTTCTCCCAGTACATGAAATAAAGACAGTCACCAAATCCCACAGAAATACGTCCCGGATGATGTTGTTCATGGCTATACCAGCATTTAAACCGATTCTGATTCAGTCTATAGAGCCTAACAGTTCTATGAATAGCGTGCCAGTGCTGCACCACGTAACCGTTTGCCCACGTTTAGACCCTCAACACAGGAAGATCAGAAAGATTTTGTGCCAGGGATCTACAGGCAGGGAAACTTCTGCTTAAAGGTTCATTACCACCGAGATGAAGGGATTTCTCTTCATCTGCTGGAATTTATGTTCTCGTTGGTCACTGATAAACTGATACACCAGGGATGGAAAAAAAAATGTTTTATTATTTAAAAACCTTTCTGAGGTGACTGGTATCTTTTTGTAATGAGAATAGGTCAGAGGGCATAAAATAGCAGATATGTTTCAAGCTGTTCTCCGTCAGAAGAATGAAGAAGTCCAAGCGATGGCTCATAGTCCCGCCTTTCATGCGTGCTTAAGGTAAACTTTATCCCTATTTATACTCAATGTTCCCTTCCAGATCAAATCTTGAGCCTTCCCCACAAGCATAGCTTGTTGTCAGTTTGTTTGCCAAAGTCTGTTCTCTCTTGCTAGACATTTACTTTTGCAGCACGCAATAGGCAAATAATACATTTCAACCGTCCGTTTGCAGCATGCTCGCCTATCAGATCTGTTGAGAGTTGGTGTTGACTTTTAGCTGACATTTTTGATAGCAATTAATAATAAAAATATCAGCTGCTCTGCTGCTATTGGCATATGTCGTTGGAGTCTTAGGTTTATACATCATTTGGAGTGAAGTTCTCCTTTCCCACTATGCGTCACGTAACGGGGCCAGGTCAGCCCCAGCGCCCGCCTGTGATGCACAGGTGGGCTTGCACTGAGCAAACCTGGCACCAGCACCCACAGTCAAAACATACTCGTCCCCTTTCCCTTTAGGCTGATGCTATGCCAGTGACCTAAAAAAAATTGCTGTCCTGCCACGGCAAGCTCATTCACAACCATCTTCCCTTCCCCGTGCTTCCGTACACGGCGGGGAGGTTTTTACAGCCCCTCTTCTGCGCTGCTGCTCGGCCGCTGTTGTAGCAGGAGCAGGGAGCTGCTCTGACTTGATCCATCAGGATGCATTTGGATGCCAGCTGCAAAACCTGAGGTGACTGGCCTCTTCAGCCGGTGGTCAGGCTTTCCCACGCTTGGGTCCCATCGGCGGGCAGCACCCTTTTCGGTAGCGCGGGGGAATACAGCGGGTTCTCTGTTGCTCCGTGAGTCACACCCCCGATCCGCAGCGAGACAAAGGGACGAGGAAAGGAACAGGGCTTCCTGGTAATTGTGTTTTTCATGGTTCTCTTCACTGATCTGGTAACAACATAATCATAGAGATTAGAGACAGAAAAGCTCTGCTGGGGCATTGTGTTAACACTCTGCCAGTTCCAGATTGCGATCTACCGAGCTGTGGCAGGTAAGTCATCACCTTCCCGGTTGTGCTCCACCCAGGGGGAAAAAAAACAACACATGAAAGGAGAAAACAAAAGAGATATATTAAAAAGCAAGCTGAGCTGTGACATTGCCACCACCTATTATGGGCGACTCCGGGTGCAGAGGCCTTCATCGTATCGAGTCTGCGCTGAACAATCCCCGTGGCGGGGTGCCGGGATTTTCCTCATTTTTAGCCAAACAGAATGGAAGCAATTATGGATTTTGCCAGCTCTATTCAAAGAGGAGAAATACTGGAACATTGCGGAGCCCCCGGAGAAGGCAAAGGCTGCACGGCCCCCGCGCCGCAC